TTAAGCTATTGCTCTTTACTTTTCGGCATATATAGTAGACCCACCACTCGATGCACCTTAACCCTAATTCTAGGCTCAAAACATCTGTAGTAGATCTAAAGTATAGACATTTTGGTTAGGTTAATTACTTTTTGCGATGTAGTACAGTCGCCAACTACAGAATCGTGAGCCGAAGACCCTGTGGACTACGACCATAGACATTTGGTTAGGTTAATTACTTTTTCCAACGTACTTCTGTCGTCACCTACAGAACCGTGAGAATAAGAACTTCTCGGAGGCAAAATTCTGAACTTTTGAATTGTCTCTAGTTCGGAATCGTCAAAAAAATAAAGTGTGGCCCTACGATGAATAAGGGGCATCTTAATGACATTGTATTTCTTTCTTTCACTATCGCTGACTTTCATATTGTGACCGAGCCTTGGGCTAGTATTTGAGTTGTTGGGCCCAAATTTCTCTTAAGGGTCGTTTGGAAGTTGCGATTGTTAAATAGATGTATTGTTGAGAATGCATGTATAATATTATACAAGTATTGTTGAATTTGATGCATTGTAGAATACAACGTTTGGTATGTGTGATTGTGTATGTCGCATCAGCTAAAAGCTGAGACAAAACAATCTCAACTCAATAATCTCAACAATCACAACTAAAAGTTGAGATATAACAATCACTCAAAATGAGTGATAGTTTCTGTCACATCACAGAAACAATCCATGTATTGTTTCTGCTAAAAAAACAAAAAAAAAAAACGATGCATTGTAAACAATACATGCATAATGACAATCTCAACAAAACAATCGCAACTTCCAAACGACCCCTTAATGTGATTTTGCGACCGATCCGCCAAATAAATCTGTAGACTTTTCGGTTTGCTAGTTACAATCCAACAATTCTTGTCTTTTTTTTTTACAAAAGATAATCATATATTGATACTCAAGAATAGATCATTACACCGCCTGCCTTAACCAGGCTACAAAATCAAAAGAACGACTCGCTATCGAGTACAAAGAAAGGGTCTTTCTAGCCACCAAATGGGCTACCCTGTTACTACGCCGACCAACGAACCGAACACTAAACCCTGCATTCTCAGCCATGTAGAGCAACACCTCACGGAAAATAGCTCCCGCCGTACTATCACTCCCCTGAGCCAAAAGAAGCCTATCAACCACCACCTTCGCATCCCCCTCAAAGCGAACAACGAGGCAGCCTCTGCTCCGACACTAGAGGATAGCTTCCCGGAAGGCCAACACCTCTACCAGCATCGCATCATCAACTTCCGGAAAATACACCCCCAAAGCACCAACAACCACCCCATCCAGGCCCAGCAACACCATCCCCCAGGCCGAATGAGACCCTAGTCGCACGACTCCATCCCACCGACAAATGAGGGGATCCTGGCTACCAGGGGGCCCATCCGGGGTTACCCGTACAGGGGCTTAAGACACAACCTCATTTGAAAGCGAATCCCACTCCCTCAATTGCTGGTGATACTGCCGAAGAAGGGCTGGCATCCCAAATTGTTTGCCCTCAAAGACTACCCAGTTTGTGACTTCCAGATCCGCCAGAGCACTGCTACAATCGCCATGACCTGGGAAGGGTCCCTAACGATGGCCAGAAGGTTCTTGAGGAAGAGAGGAAAAGTAAGGCGAGACAAGCCCTGACCCACATGCTCTAACCCCGCTAAATCCTACAATGCACGAGCCACACAGCAGTCGAAAAAAGATGTTCCATAGTTTCTGGCGCAGCCCAGCAGACCGGGCAACGAGGATGAACATCTACCTTCCTGCCAATGAGAGCTTCCGTAGTGGGTAGGAACCTATGCAGAACTTGCCATAAGAACACCTTCAACTTAGGCGGAATAGCCACACCCGCTTCCAACTCCCCCGGTCCATCCAACTCACCAACGGGAGTCAACCCCCAGATTGCTGGTCTAGGAGAATGGCCAGGTGATAAGCTGATTTCACAGTGAAGATCTCATCACCCGTCTCATGCCAGACAAACCTGTCATCGATCGCCCTTCTAGGCAAAGGAATCACACAGATAGCACGACAGATCTCCGGAGGGAACCATTCCCCAAGTTTATCCAGCAACCAGCACCCCGCAGTCGGACAAATGAACTCGGCCACCTTCAACTCCACTCCCTCAGCAAGAATCCGAGGATTAAACATGGGGGATTTGGGTGGAGCGATGGAATCCAATTATCTGTCAAAGCCACCACCCCTCGCCCATCCCCAATCTGCCATCTAATACCCTGAACCAACAATTTTGTCCCATACAGGATGCTCTGCCAACCCCAGGAAGGGCGAGAGCGGGGTGTCGCAGAAAGGAAGTCACCACGAGGAAAATACTTCCCTTTATACACCTGAGCGAGGAGGGACTGAGGATCTGTCAGGATCTGCCAACCAATCTTAGGAAGAAGTGCTTGATTTAAGAACTCAAATCAGCGAAACCCCATTCCACCCTCATGCTTACTCTGACACATCCTACGCCAAGACATCTATCGAATGCAGGAGTGACCATCCTCCACACCCCACCAAAACCACGCAACCAACCTATCCAAAGTACGACAAAGAGAGAGAGGCAGCTTAAAACAGGACATCACATGTAGCGGAAGCGCAGAAGCAACAAATTTGATCAGAGTTTCTCTAGCTGCCGTGGACAACGATCGCTGAGCCCAGCCCTGGAGCCGGGCTATTAACCGTTCCTCCACAAAGCAAAACGTGGCCATCTTAGACAGGGAAATGAGGGATGGGAGACCCAGATATTTATCATGGACACCCACAACCCCTACTCCCAGAACTTGGTGATATTCTTGCTGAAGCATACTGCTGATTTCCCCAAATTAACTCGCTGCCCACTGAGTTCCTCATACTCATTCAGAACCACAATCAGGTTCTCGCATTGCTGAAGCGATCCTCGTAGGAATAAATACGAGTCATCCGCAAAAAACAAGTGAGAGATTCGAGGAGCTCGAGGAGCCACTTTAACGCCCTCCAACTTCCCTTCCGTGATGGCCCTGCGAAGGAGAGCCGCAAACCCTTCTGTGAAAAGCACAAAAAGGAGCGGAGAAAGGGAGTCCCCTTTCCTCAATCCTCGGGATGAGCGGAAGAACCCGCCGGCGAACCATTCATAAGAATGGAAAACAAAGCCGAGCTAAGACACTCTCTAATCCAGCCAATCCAGGTCTGGCTGAAATCTAGCTTGGCCAGAATCGTAAGAAGAAAGGGCCATTCGACTCTATCATAGGGCTTTTTCATGTCAACCTTTAGAGCCATGTATCCTTTCTTCCCGCGATTTTTAATTTTAAGGTAGTGCATTAGTTCGTGCCCCAGCAGCACATTCTCCACTATCTGCCGCTCTCGGATAAACGCATTCTGACATTCTGACACAATCCGGGGAAGGAATGGGGCCAGTCTCTCCGTCATAATCTTGGTAATCACCTTATACACAAACTGGCACAGACTAATAGGCCGCAGTTGACGAATGGTCTCCACACTATCAACCTTAGGGATCAACGTGAGCTAGGTATGGTTGAAACTGCGAAGGAGTTTGCCAGATTGGAAAAAGGAGCATACAGCCTCAACCACCGAAGCGCCCACAATATCCCAGAAGGATTTAAAAAACTTCCCTGTGAAGCCATCTGATCCCGGGGCCTGCTTAGAGCCCATTGAAAAGACCGTTCGCCGAACCTCCTCAGGGAGGACTGGCGCAATGAGCTGAGCATTCATTTCATCAGTGACTTTTCGAGACAACGGAAGGGCCTCCACCCTGGCCTGCATATCCGGAACCTGGTTCTCCGAGGTGAATAGGGTTTGATAAAAATCAGTGGCCAAATCCGCTTTCCCCTTCTCCTCCTTAATCCAATCCCCACTCTCATTCCGTAATCCCTCCACAAAGTTCCGTTTCCGTCTAGCCCGAGTGACCGTATGGAAGTAGGAAGTATTCTGATCACCTCTCCTCAACCAGCGCACCCTCGATTTTTGCTGCCAATACAGTTCCTTCGCTTCCCACTGACAACTCAGATCACTCTCCAGAACTGAACCTCATCCCAATTCACCAGAAAACCTGCTTAATGCGGTCTATCTCAGATTGGAGGGTTCGAATATTTCGAAGTGAATTAGTCGTCCCTGCTCTGCTCCAATCATACAAAAGATGGCGAAGCCGCTTCAACCCGGTCCATAGCTTAAACATAGGGGACCCCATTCACTTCTTCCTCGCGCCAAACATAGCTAACCATAGCCCTAACCTCCGGATTATCAGCCCAACGAGCATCAAAACGAAACAGAGGGCGGCAAAGCCGGGGATAATATTTGTCAGACAACAGCAACGCCCTATGGTCAGAGCCCAGGTCCGTGAAATGTTTGACAATAGTCTCTGGGAATCGGTCTATCCAAGGCTGAGAACAGAGAGCACGATCTAGCCTCTCCCGAATACAAGCCTGGCCCATTCTTTTATTCGTCCAGGTGAACTGATCACCCTGAAACCCAGGGTCATGAAGCCCCAAATCGTGAATAAAATAGTGAAGAGCCATCGATTGCCCCACATTCCACGGATTCCCCCCATCCTTCTCCCCAGCATGAAGGGTAGAGTTAAAATCACCAATCACCACAAACGGCAATTGAATACCCTCACAAATCTGGCGAAGGGTGGCAAGTTGGGAAGCACGAAGCGACTCAAAACAACTAATGTAAACACCAACCACCACATAAGAAAAAATACTTTCATTAATACGAACACAAATTGCAAAGTCCGAATGAAAAAACACCGAAGCATCAACTCCGGAGGACCAAGCACAACTAGACCACCAGATGCATCAACTGCATCTACGAAATAACAATTAGAGACCTGAAAACCTAGCCCCCGCAAACGACAGGAGACGACACGCCTACGGGATCGAGTTTCCGAAAAGAAAACAAGATCCTGCTTATTCGACCGCACCAGACCTACAACAGTTTGGAATGTGAGGGAGGGTCAAATTCCTCTCACATTCCACGCCAAAATCTTCATTTTTCTCCCTGGGGACATTTCCGGCTGGCTACCTCCACCGATATCAGCTCATCATTCCCGACTTCTTCCACAAACTGCTTCTTCACCGTGGGATTTCCTTCAACTTCACCATTAATATCTTCCCAAGAATGCTTCCGCCCTCCCATCCCCATCACCAGAGTATTCGAGCCATACTCATCAATCAGAGCAGGAACTTCAATTGTACTAGCCAGCGTACCCACTCCGCCCACCCCATCAACAACCACACTTCCAGCTTCAAAGGCTTGAACTACCTGTCTAACCTGGCCGGACAAGATTGGTTGGTGGGCCGAGTCGGACAAGCGAGGACCCCGAGACCGGATTTCAAACTGATCCGCAACTCCATCAGATAGAGTGGCGTCAGAGTCCTCCTCCACGGAACCCGTGCTATTATATGGCGGCTCCCATTCCTCCGAATCCTCTTCAACCAGAACCATCTTCCCCTTGCGCACACGAGCCTCCTGCTGCGCAGCCTCCATAGCAGCCTCATCCTCTGCACCCACCGGATTGGTAGGCTGCTACCGGACACCCGGCCGATCACGTACAGACGAGGCAGCAGCGGGAGGGATTGCGGCCATACCGGAGGCACGGATATCAGTATCCCTGCTAGTCTCCTCCCCCGCCAATCCCCCTTTCCTAACAAAAGTAGGAGGCACCGGCGCGTCATCCTCCGATTCCTCGAGCAACAGTTTGCGACGCCTTGCTTCTTGCTGCAGCTGATTTTGGGGCGAGCCATTACCCTTCCGCGTCCCCCGCTTCTCTTTCTTCTTCCCCGCCAATCTCCTAGCCTACTGCCCTCGATCCGCTGCCACCTGCCTCCTCGCACGACAACGAGGTTGTTCCAGGAGCGGTGCCGCAACAATTCTTGTCTTACAAAAATGCTTGTAAGTAATTTGAAAAATAAATTTATTCTTAAAGTTTTGGCCTCATCCCTAATTAGCACAATTCAAATTCCTCAAGATTAATTTTCACCCCTCACTGAGCTTTCTGTCTTTGTTACTTATGTTATTCTGATTAAATCATCATAATTAATAGGAAACTAATTATTGAGTGGCTCCTCTAGGATTTACAAAGCAACTCAATCTGATTTGTGATTGTACGTGGGCAACGGGCCGGACCGTCCACAGGCTAGCACGACACGACACGGTTAGAGCACGACACGAGCACGAGCACGCTCACAAAGTATATGGGTCGGCCCGGCACGAGCTCGAATAATTTATGGTTCGTGCCGGGCCTAAATTTCATGGGCACGGGCACGCCGCAATATGTTAGTGGGCCGTTGTAAGAAACACGCTTTTTCGAGTTTCTCACGGTTAACGTAACTGGTTAGGTAGAAGGGATTATTGGGGTTGAGAATAGAAATTAGCGATTTAGATGAGAAAGAACATAATAGATAAGGAATCGGCCGAAGCCTTGGATTGGTTGAGACGAGAAATTAGGAGTTGAGAGGATAAACTAGGGTTTAGGAGATTCTTCTTAGGGCTAATACCACTACAACACCCGAACTATGAACAAAATGTCATTTGTGTCCTATTCTTTCCAATATTCCATTTATTGAAATCGATACAGAGGAAGAGAAGTTTTAGGGTTCAAGGAAAATGAATGGGAACAGACAGGGAAGGGAACAACAAAGACAAAGTGTCTTCAGACACTGGTCGTTCCTTCTCTTTATATCTGGGCCCAAGAATTCTAAGCCCACAATCTAACCTTAGTTCTACACAGCCAATGCTATAACTAATAGACATGCTTAAAGCCCAGTCTCGGTTAGATCAGAAAACCAGAGTCGTTTTCTTCTTTATAACAAGCAGAGCACAAAGACACAGCAGAGTGAAACAGGGGAAGAACAGAGGATCGAAAGAAGATATTTGAACCGCAAGAGAAGGGCTGAGAAAAGAATGGCACACGATGTTTTTAACGTGGTTCGCCCAAGTGAAATGGTCTACTTTCATGTCCCAGAATATGGTCTGGGAGACCTTTTTATATTTCAGTTTTAACAAACAAAAGAAAGAACAAGAACACACAAAGAAATTGCAAAACAAATAACCCAGATCAGTATTGATCTAACCTGCCTTGACACACTCAGATCCTCTACCCCTGTGTATGTCAAACCCCCTTTTGTAATTACCAAGCTTAAGCCCTCTACCGCTAACAAGCTTCTACAAAAGTGTCTTGAGGAGTCAGCACCGAGAGGTATAAATACCAGAACCAGCTAGCCGTTAATATACCAAGAAGGAAACTCTCAAATCAGCTAGCTGTTTCCTTTGATACAGCTGAAAGGGAAACGGGCAGAAAAGGCAATCTTCAACTTGATTTCCTTGCCTGAATCAACATTTATATCCTAAACTATTATTCCGTTAGTGTTGACCAATGCTGACCGTAATTTTTAATGGAAAATCCAGTCAGCATCAACGTGACATCTGACATGGAATTTTTAATTCCAATTTTTATTCAAAATAAAATTTAAAATACCAAAAGTGAAAATTTCCCCCGATCTCTTATGCTTTCCCGTCTTCCTCCACTTCTCTCTCTGATTAGTCGCAGTCGTGCTCCAGCCACCATTTCCGATTTCTTTGTTAGATGGACTCTCCTCCTTGCCCACTGCCTCCAATCTGAAGTCGATTTGCTTCACCATCAAGACCGAGAGCCGCATACGCTTCCTTTTCCGCATTTGAAAAGTCAACTAAAAATGGAGTGACTCTAATCGCAGTCGGACCTTGACTGAATTCTCAAACCCCAAAAGGAGCCGAAGATCGACACTGAAAAGAATCAAGAGGAATCCCCTCAAATTTATGGGGCACATGGAGGAAAAGAGAAACATATCGATTGATGCACAGATACCAGGAGGAATAGGAGGGGCAGAAATTCAGTAGTAAGTCAATCCTTGAATCACTAATCCCTCAAGATCCTGGTGTAGAGAACTCGTCCGTTCGCTGGCATTCTCCTCTCCCGTGGGCGGTGAAACATTGCGGCATCTTTTCGGAGGCGAAGACCTGTATGAGATCTCTTGATATATATGTTTCAGTCTCAAACACAGAACCGAACTCAAGGGACCAAAAATTATCTTTGGGAATACTTAATTTGTTGTTAACCGCTGAGTTTTTATAATATTTTTTAGTAATGTTCCTGAATTTAAAATTTGTCATTTTTTATTTTAAAAATTTAATTTTAATATAATTTTGAATTAAAAAATACGTGGTAATGACGTGGCGCCTATGTGGATGTCACTTTTTTGTCACATAAGAAAAAGTCATCAATAATTTGACCTCCGTCCGGTCAACCGTTATCTTTAACGGTCAACGAAATCGTTAGGATATAAATGACACAAAATTATGATACTATGGGATAGAAATGAAATATTGGAAAGAATAGGACACAACTGATATTTTGTTGATAGTTCGGGTGTTTTAGTGGTATTAGCCCTTCTTCTTAATATTCTTCTTGATTCATTATGACATAAACCCAAAGTACATATTTTATAGAAAAATACTGGAAAACCCTAATAATAATCCTAATACGACTAAATATCTACTAACCATAATTATAAATAGCCTACTAATAAATAATAAGAGAAACCCCAATAGGCCGGTTTCTGACAGCCGTGTGGGCATAATGTTTTTTAGACCTAATAGCAAACATGACACGAAAAGAATATTTATTTGATAGAAAATAAATATAAAAATGATTATAAGTTCAAATATTACAAAATATAAGTACAATAAAAATTATTTACTCTTATTAGAAGTGACCATAAATATATATACCTAATTACTACCATAATTAAAAATATACGAAATATTAAACAAAGTCAAATCACACTCGCCATACTTCTAATTTTCTTTTCCCCCTTATTTGCTATATTTCTCAAACATTCTCGGTTAATACTTTCATTCTCCGTTCAATTTGTTCATTCTTTTCCATTCTCTCTTTTATTTTTTTCCTTGTTATCAAACACGAATATGAGCACCGCACGAGCACGAATAGGCACGACATGATTCAGACATGCCCGGGCCCGGGCCCGACATATCAAATTTAACAAATGGGTTGGCACGGCACAACACTAAAACTAACGGGTCGTGCCAAGTACGACACAAAATAAATAGGCTTGAAGCGTGCGGTGTCGTGCCGGCCCAACGCCCATGTACATTTGTGATTGAGGCGTTGTGACCCGGATTTTGACAGTGGAGACAAAAAGGATGACCTTCTGGGGTGCGGACTTACTCCCCCTTGCCTTGAAACTGCTTATGTTGTCCTTGGAAGGCAATTGTCTCAAAATGAGGGCGCGAATCAGAGATATTGCGTTGTTGTTCGTCATTGGCGACCAGGCCCGACCCAGACCCTGTGCTGGTCAGACCCACAGCCCAGCGCTTCAATTTTATGGGGCCTCATAATAAAGTCATGAGGCCCACTTCGACTGGCAAGCCCACATACACTTCATTAGTCCGGAGGCACCACTTGGGCTGGCAAAAGCTCTCGGCCCATTTCGGCTGGCAAGGCGGAGGCCCACTTGGACTGGCAACAACTCTCACACAAAAACCACATGTAGCAACTAGCAACTGCCATGGAAGGGAATCGAACGATTGATCTCCTTATCATTTAAAAAATAAATCAACCACTGAGCTAGAACTTGTTTGATGTGGTTAAGCTAACAGTTAGTTTATTTAACGCATCTCTTCTTCTCTTTCCCTAAAATTTCTCAACTTCCCAAAACCATCCAACGCATAAATATGAATTATTCACATCCAATTCTAATTAACTCCTAGTCTATGTCAATTCGGACTATCCAGGCTCCTAATCAAATTATTTTAAGTTCTAACCTTTTTTCTTTTTCTTTTGCTGGGAATTTAATATTGATTGAAAATTTGAATTCATTAATCTTTGATTATAATTTTTAATTATGTCAACCCAAAAATTTGAAAAGGTAGTTATAAGCGTAAAAGAAAAAAAAGAATTGAGGAGCCTAGATACTAGTAGCCGAACTTGATGGCAATTCAAAAATTAGAAGTGAAGCTAAATTCTTGGCACAAAATGAACTTGGTGATATTGAGTTTATTGTTTCAATAGTTATTTTGGATTAAATATTGCACTCAATAAATTCGGTTAGTAAACATTTACAATGCAAAGATATTCTTATTTATTATGCTATTTTATAAATAGATGGATTGTCGAACAAATTAGTTTTTAATTCAATGAAAATATGGAAGGGCTAATAGAGGATTTTATTTCAAATAATACTAGACGATTGTTACTTTTGAGCAATGATAGATAATATTATTACTTTGTAATCATTTTCTAAAATTATCTAATTTTTATTATTATTTAATAATTTGGGAAAAACAAATTTTGGGGTCACATTTTAAATTCTCGAACAGGGACTCCGAATATCATGGGACGGCCCTGTTGACGACCATGCTATAAGCTTCACCCAAGCTCGGAGTTGGCTTGAGAGAGAGGAGTTGAGTACGGACAAAAGAGAACCCGT